GGGGGGGGGGACGAAAGGGAACCAACGCCGGAACGAGCGAAAGCGGTGAATATTCCATGTGGCATCATCATCTTCCCGACAGTAACCGACTGATACGTCGTCCGCACCCTCGGTTGGCTGTTGGCAGCTCGAAAGCTGCGAGACGAGATGGGATTCGAAATTTACCGGAAATAGCCCAGCCATCCGAGCGGAGTGGGAGGCGGTGGGATGCGCGCTGTGACGGGACTTCCGTTTGGGAATATAGATATCCAAGATTTCAAGGCATATTGACATCCGAAGGGTTGCGGGAGGCTGCCCGAGAATGCAGCCGTTGTAACATGAAATTGATGTGTTTTTATTTATATATACAATATTTACAAACGCATATTTCATTGGGTGGCTACAAATATCTTGTGTCTACGTATAAACATGTATGACATGTCAATTGGCTGGGGTATTTTGCGAAGCGCGCCGAAGAGTCGCGTATTGTGACCGTCGGAAGGCGACCTCGCCAGGTCTTCCACGAGTCCAGTTGAAACGCCATCAGGCCCATCAGGCCCATCAGGCCCATCAGGCCCATCAGCCCCTCTTCTCAGGACGCGTCCTTCGTGCAAAGGACGTTTCTTTCTGTGATTCATCTCCATCCTATTTCTTATTCTTCTTTTCCCCTTCGTTCGATCGCGGTATTAATTATTCCCATCTCAGATGCAGCTCTCCTGTATAGCACCGCATCTGCCGATGGCCTCGGGATACCTGTTGGGCCTCTGGAGGCTGTAGAAGGTCTGGAAAATAAAGAGACAAATAAACTATTCAAAGTCTCAAGCTGCTCTTCGCGCTAATACTAACGTGCCATGAGGAATTGGTATGACTTTTATTTTTGTGCAATAACCCTTTCCTGCCAACGTTAGCGAAACTCGGTTAACCTCCCAGTGGCAGAGAATTCAACAGGGCAGAATGTTATAGCCGGAAAGGCTGTTACTCAAATGGCGGCGGGAAGGAGAAAGGTAAACGCATACCAGGAAATGGTTCTCCATTGTAATGCTCCTGCGGGAGCGGCTGCTCGGGAAACAGCGCTAGACAACGGCAGAGAGGGAAAGTACTTTGAGAAAATTCTCAAAGACAGCCTTGATCTCGTGCGGAGCTGGTTAAGAATGAGGAGTGGAGGAGGGATGTGCTATGGGCAAGGATAAGAGGGTCATACAAAAGTGGTAGCTTATTGCGGGATAAGAATAAGGGTTGCCTTCGAGAGATAAAAGCGCCCCGAGGAACAGGAAGAATGCCGACGGTTCGCTCCAGGAAGAATTCAGGAGCGCTGTCGAGTCTTCGTTGCCCTGGCCAGTGTCTGGTCGTCTGGAGTCTCGGGTTCCAGAGGTCAAAGGGCGTCTCCTGTGCTAATTGCTCGACTGCCGCTTCTACTGGCTCTGTATGCAAGTGTTACACATATGTACCTACGTGTAAGAATCGTGTAAGAATCAATGACTGTTTCCACTACACTACATCTATACACGCAATGATCGTGGACGGGGACAGGGCCAGCAGTCAGGATACTTACATTTGGAGCAGCCTGGGGATAATCCTGATCCTCCATCCCGTCGTACGACATCTCCCGACCTTCCACGTATCGCGGTCTTCGCGGTAGCGATCCGTAAACCGCGAGTTTTCTGTCTAAATTAAAAGAATTGCCTAATACACATGTGAAACATAGAGTAGGCATTTTTTAAATAGATCTGCGCTTAGATGACGTCGTGATTCGTGGACGCGTGGAACGCAGCTGGCAGGCACACACGCCTCGTGGCACTTTAGCTCTTGTTCCTGGAGATTTACCTGTGTGATTCGAAAGCGCCGTTGTGGGTATAAGATCTGGATTCCCATCTTCTTCCTCGCCCTTTCCGGCGAAAGTCGCGATGCTCGGTTGCTGAGGCGGCTTCGGCTTGGCTGGCGTCGCTGCGTGTCTCCTCCAGAGTGCCATCAGGACTCCCGTCACGATTAGTCCTAATCCAGTTGCCGTTCCGCCGAGCCCAATTAAGATCGGCGACATGTCCACGGACGATACGGATTCGCCTGAAAATGAATTCATGTCGCGACATCGGCATGAGTTATTCAGCGCGCGTTATGTCCGTTCCGAAATCGATCTTCGCCTTTCATCTGTTCGACCTCCCTTCTGTGTCTCACTCGCTCATTCATTCTTTCCCTCTCTCTCTCTCTCTCTCTCTCTCTCTCTCTCTCTTCTTCATCCACGGCTCGATACTCCTGGTGGTACTGCGGATAAAGATGTAATAAGAAGTATGGTAATGTGGAAAGTGACTCTGCAGGTTCCGGGATTTCGAAAGATACGAAATAGTAGAAGAGACTAAAAAGAACTCGAGGTATTTTCGTAGCCTGAGATGTTTTGAGCACTGGTTCATAGGAAACTGTAAACGGGAGGTATATCGTAGGTCGCACAATACAGAAGAAGGAGGGGAGGCTCGCTAGCCGCTAGCCGCTAGCCGGCCGAGACTCTCCATCAAACGCAACGGGTGTCTCATTCATCAAGAGCTCGTCAGAGAGCTGAAAAGGTTTCCTCGACTGTGACCGAGCTCCTAGTGATCGAGCGTAGAGCCTAGTAGCTGCTAGTAGCCCCTTTGACCCCCTATCCTAGCTGCCTGCTCGACTACGTAAAAATAAATATGCCCCGATTATTCTAGGCGCTTTCTTAATTTCGCTCGTACATTGCCCGTCATTCGAGTAATACAATCAAGTCAAACAAAGTCATTTCCTATTTGAATTTAGCGCGTTTCGAATGAATGTGCCTATAGTGCATTGATTATAACTCGTAAAGATATAATTTAAAAATGTAATTTTTATATTCAAGGAGCGGAAATCTCTATCGAATGTTTTGTGCTACGAATCGATAAACTAGAAAGCAAAGAGAAAACAAAAAGGTTACTGTAAACTGGAATCAATATTTCAAAGATAAGGAGTCTAAGGGATTATGGGTCTGGCCCTGTTAATATTCCATTTTTTAAATTCGTTTATGTTAATATTACCGTATTCAATACGCAGATCGGTTTATATTTCGATCGGATGTCGATCTGAAATTAGTCAGTGTACATAGATGCCAAAGATAATATTTAAACTGTGAGGAAGGCATCGACGGCGGACAGTGTACGAGTGGACTGTAGGGGAATGGTACGGCCAGGGAGAATGAGTGGAAAGGAGAAGAGAAATTGAGAAAAAGAAGAAGAGAGAGAGAGAAGGAGAGGAGATTTTCGACATTGCCTCTAATCCACGTTCTTCTGGCTGGCTGACTCTGCTGTTATTTACGGGACATGGTCAGGACTTCCTGCACCAGGATTCCGAGTGGTGAGTTTGTGTCTCACGAAGTAGCTGGATAGTCCTATTCCGGAAGCGAGTATAAAGTCCAACCCCTCCAAGCAGGGAAGGATCGCTGACCGATGGACGGCGCAAACGAGAGAAAGCGAAATGCATAATAATAGCTCATAAATTTGAGGCGTGGTTCCGGCTGGGTCCGACCGCGCCATGTTTCATCCCGAAATGGGCTATCCCGTGTCCCAGCCCAACCTGAAGATGACCTCGTGGCCTCGCAAACTGTCCCCTCGCATTTGCATACTGATAATAATTTTGCTTACTTCTCTGTAAACTCGGTTTACGGCTTCCCTTTTCCACCTGGGACACATGGATGACACCTACTGTCCTCCCGTCTTTATCTCGCCACCCTCTTTCCCACCCTCCATTCCTGTTCTTAAACCATCCACTTATTTTTTCTCATACGTTCAGGACTTTCACGAATTTCGGGACATTGCCTCGGGGGGATCGGGATCTGACCTTCGCAAAGGACCCGGTCGACTTCAGGGACTGGCTCGTACCGCAACTAAGCAGGCTCTGATACCCCGTGGCTTCTACCGCATCACTTCCCCTAAGGACAGCCAGACGCTCAGGCACTCGGGTTAACTGCGAAAATTGCTTTTCGCCAAATCGGATTTTATCCGTTCCCCCTGCCTTAAGTACTCGGGTTTCCGCATTAGAAACTCGTCAACTTATTTGCCAAAACAAGTTATTTATCAATGAAAGCCTCTGAAGGAATTACGCGATGCTCGTCTAGAACGTGTTACATGCCGTTACACGTATTATTCATATAGAGGTATTACAGACGCCAATAAATGATTAAAGAGAAAGAATTCTCTGGCAGCTGTCGATTTATGTTCAGATTTTCCACAATCTCATGTGCTGTGTCTATCGATAAATCGCAAAGCACTGAAAGCTGCGACTCGAGTATTATATTGTCATTGCGACATTCAAATTTAATCTCACATGAGAAACGGCCGATATTGCGTCGTGGAAGAGGCCACTTTGATCTCCCTATATGTGTTTTCCATTTTGTCTTTCAGTCACTCACCTCTTCCTTTGCACTTTTTCTCTTTCCTTCTACCTTCGTCCCTAGTTCTCTCTCTCTCTCTCTCTCTCTCTCTCTCTCTCTCTCTCTCTCTCTCTTCTCCTGCCACCCCATTCCCGCTCTACCGCAGCCATAAAACAATTTTTTTATTAGCATACTTTCCCGCACCGGAAAGCGTTACTGCAAATTGCAGCGATTGGTCGACGTTCGACTATTATACGCTCGTAATTGGATTTGTTGAGTGGGAGCGAGGAGCGTGTGAAAAAAGAGAGATTAAAAAAATAAAGAAATTCAAAGTCTGTACTGGTCGCTCGTCGGCGAGATGCGCCACAGTCGCACGTGGATGAGAGTACTCTTCCATTTCCGGAAAATCCTTAAAAATAAAACCTCCCGATTGACTAAAGAAATAAGAGGAGAGCCAAGCGAAGGAATAGGAACAGCAGCACGGGAAGCGACTCGAAGGAAAGAAAATCTGAACCGATGAGGGTTCCTCGTTCAAAATCTCCAGGGAGTGTGTACTCCGTGAGTGGGCAAATAAGTAAGAAAACGAGAAGGGAGAAACAGGGAGAGCTAGTAGACATTCTAAAGTGTATTATAAAGAGGGTGCGGCAGAAGGAGGGAGCGAGAGAGAAGAGATATGCTCGAAGGAAAAAATGGCGACGGAGAGGGGAGAGGAAGGCAAGTGCGGAGCAGAATAAAAAAGGCGATACCTGAAGCACACACACCGACAAGGATCGAGAACGTTCGCGGTTTCGATCTGATGTGGCGCGGCAGCAGGAAGTACGTTGCGCTGCAGGCTCTTTTACTCCCAGCGGTATGGAGAAAAATAAGCTTAGAGGTTAAACTAAGGGAGGGCAGAAGATAGTACGAGCGCAGGAGAGTGAGAGAGAGAGAGAGGGAGGTAGGTAGGGGAAAGGTAGAGGGAGAATGGAGAAAAAGCCTCGGAGAAGACGGGTGAAAAGCCCTCGAATAGATGTGCTACACACTAGGGTTATTATGCAAATGGCGCGGACTCACGCACCAGTGAATTTCGCAACGCCTTTCAGCGCGATGCCATCCATGATGACGGGATCGCTGGACCCCTTGACGTTAACTGCGTAGAGGGCGACGCTGGTCGGCTCATGTAGCTCCAATTCCCAGTAGGGATAGGGCGATTCCCATCGCTGCTTATCCACCATGGCCACGAATTTCTGCGGCAGCCCGCCGTCGAAACCCTCGATGCAAGATATCCGGATCCAGGCGCCGCTCTGATTCACCGCCGTACAATTTTGCAGGGGAAATGGTCTACCTGAAAAAGAGCGTCCAAGCAGGTATTTTAATAGGAAATAATGCCGCATCGTCCTGTGCCTGTGCGAAGAGCCGCAAGGAACATGCAAGTTCATTGGGATTTCCGACTGGGAAACGCGCATCGTCGATCTAACACGACTGTAACGTCCTTCGTTTGAGTACCGAGTGGCGCGAGCTGGAAGTTTCGATCTGCTGCAAGTGAAACGAGGATTCGGGAATGGAAGTTGAAGTAGCTGGCTATTAGTTCCGGTGGCCACCCGGAAAATAATATCAACGTGGACAGGAGAGTCAATCCGCTCGGCTCGGCGTATTTAATGTTATCATTTCTGGTGTCCTGGAAACAGACGTGGCTCAAGACCAATTTCGATATCTCATAGCCTCATACCCCTACCTCGTGTAATATTTTTTGTGTGCTTTTCTGCCCAGAAGATACGACGTTCGGCGCAGGAAGATAAAAACTAGGGATGAAACGAGAGAAGAAACCATGGAGAGTCTGTACGTCTGTAAAATTGGCCAGCAACTCGTAACAAGCAGCGACGAGTAAAGACGAACGACGTCTTCCTGGCCAATTCGAAAAAGCTCAAAGCTGCGGGGCTGATTTTTCTCCCGCAGTTCGTTACCTTCAATTTTCGCGTCTGGCACCTTCCGTCGTGGGGTCGTAATTTAGATGGGGCAAGAGGGCAGATGAACACGGCAGGAGCCCAACTGATTGTCGTCGAGGTGCAACCGGAAGCCGCGAAACGAGCGGAAATCACAGCATTTCGCGCAGTTCCTCCATCCCCACTTTTTCCTTCGACTCCTTCGACTCCTTCAGCCTCTCCGCTCTTCGTCCTTCCGCCATCTTTCCAGTTGAGATTCTGTACTGCTTCCTTGATCTTTCTAACCTTTCTTTAGCAATCTACCCCCAGCCTCGACTTCCTGCTGTATACACATGCACACTCGGAAACGGCTCCTTGATATCATCGTTTCAATTAGCGACTTAATTACTACCGGCGAGCGAGCCAGTCGCCCGGCGGCGGCGGCGGCGGCGGCGGCCGTGGTAGCAGCAGCAGCAGCAGCAGGAGCCGCGGTGGTGCACGGCAAAAACTACTGTCCGGTAATTACATAAGAAATACATTGCCTCTCTGCGTAAAATAAATTATGTGTGCAATTACCGAAACCGTAGCCGGAAGAGGAGGCAGGTCGGTGGTAAAGTTTTCGACCGGTCAGATTGGCCAGCAACGCTCGCGATTTCAGCCAATAGAAACTCATTCTACGTCTCTCGACCAACTGAAAATCTATTGTCCCTTTCGCGGATAAAATATCCCACTCGAACGCGTCATTACTTTTCCCGCGGCCGTCTTAAACGTCGTCTCGTAATGAACATATTTAATTACAGTTTTCATTAAATTTAGCAAAACGCACGCATGGCGACACAATTGAATTTAAACGAGGAGCTTTAACCGCCTCGTGACCGCGCACCCGTCTATAGTATAGTTACGGTAGCTACCAAATTCCGCTACCCCTCCGCATCCCCATACCCTTATTCTACTTCCGTTAACAAACATTTCTTCACTATTCAAGACGGGAAACTCCACTGTCTCTTTCCTCTTTCTCTTTACTTTCAAGCTGCACCTCTTTTGCTCTCTTTCGTTGAACCATCGAGCGTCTTTTCCTTAAGGCTTTCCAATATCAAGACTCTACAAGGTTTTTCGAACCTCGAGAAATCTGGCAATCAGCGGGTCCTTCCCAGCAGACAATTAGTATCCCTATAGAGGAAATTAGCAAGTTCGTACTCCCTAAGCCGGTCTAATTAGAATGGAGGATTTCGAAAGGAGACGCGACGCCACGTGAAAGGAGAAGCAAAAGGACACGCGAAGGATCTCCATGTACGTACCTGCCGCTACAACTTGATAGAGACAAGGCAGTTTCGAATGGCCGACGATGTTACTGGCCCAGCATCCAAGCGTGCCGTAGTCCATATCGGTGGCTGGAGTGTAATTCAACCTGGAGACGGTGCCGTCGCTACTGAATTTCGAGGCAGGTAGATCATTTAGGTCGCCGCTATTGTTGAAGGTCCAATGAAAGGTGACGGAGGTCGGATTGGCCTCCACTTCGCAGACAAGTCCGATAGTTTCGTGCTTGAGGGCGCCATGAAGTTCCTCGGGAAGGTTGAAGGGCGGCGGCGTGGCGTTCTGATGCTTCCAGGTGCCCGAGTTGAGCACGTGCTTGCAGATCGGCGCGACTGCGGAAAATTCAATAATTGCTCGTCCGCCGCACCGATCAACTTCCACGTAATATTACTCTATACTATATCTCTCTAAGTAAATTCCATTGGGACGCGAGATGACGGGGTCCCACCGCCGCGAATAACAGGGCGAGTCCTGGCCAAAATACTGGCTGTTCTACCTACACATCACCTCGAGGTTCACGACGTTCGAAGTTTCCCGGCCTTCCGTGTTCGCAGCCAGGCAGGTGTACTTGCCGGCGGATTCTCGTGTTATTCCCTGGAGCACCAGCGAGTGGTCCGACAGTACAATGCCCCCGGACACGTTGTGATGGAGTTCCTCGTCCTGGAGAAACAATGCGGGACTCGTCAAAGTGGAAACGGTTCAAGGTTCGGTGTCTACCAAGTCTATCGGAGTACCAGTAGCAGTATTAGCACCAGCACTGGAGCAAGTGTACTATCATCCTCATCGTAATCGCGCTCGTCAGCCTCCAGGAATCTCTTTAAAGGTTACTGGCTCTCTCGTCCCGAGTCCCCGAGCGACTTATTCTCAGCGAAGACCTCGAGTGCTGCAGTTTCTGCTCTCCAATTTTATTTCGATTCAAAAGGTGATGCTTTAGGAGGCACCGGAAACTACATTGCGCTACTTGCAAATACTGGGTTGAGTTCTGTGATAAATGCACGGAGAATGACCCCTTACGTGCTCACACGTGCACGTGTGCAGGCGCATGTACGTCCAGAGAATGTTACTACTGGCAGCCACATTCCTTGCTTCTTTTATAAGTAATGTGATGCATAGTCGTGTTTCGCTGTTTAAGTACAGAGAGAGAGAGAGAGAGAGAGAGAGAGAATGAGCGGGGGGGGGGAGACGACGGGAGAAACCACCAAGTGGAGAGGAGGAACTCGCGCTGCTGGCTCCGTCTTGCGCTTAGTTGACATACTAGCATGTCGAGCACGCTGCTATAACGTCTTAATATTAGATTTTAGATATTCGTATTTGCGCCCCGAGTCTAACATACGAAACCCGGTCTGTCTACTTGGGGATCTCTCTCTCTCTCTCTCTCTCTCTCTCTCTCTCTTTCGCTCTCCTTTTCTCTTTGTACGCGAATTCTATCTTGCTGAAGAGAAACCGAAACACAAAAATACATATACGAAGCAGTATAGGTTGCGACGATATTATTCAGGAAGTGAGAAAGATAGACAACTCGACAGGATATATGCGCCGTCGCAAATACGAGAATGCACGCGAGAGCAACCACCGGGACGATAGCTGGAAGATGCCTGGGCGCCAGGTATCCCTCGGGGATACCGATCCCACTGACAATGAGTCGCGATATTCGGGAACTTTTCTCGCGACAATTTTGCTGCCGGCTAGCTCAGCCCGTTTGTCCTGAATCAGCAAGGGGTAGAGGGGCGGGAATCTTTGACCAGAAAATAACGAAATCACCGTAAAAAATAAAACAGAATTCTAACGTAACGTAACAAAGTCCTCTTTGTTAAGACGTAGTTGAAGCAACCCAATCACGAGGGTGGACTCCTGGTAGCTAGCTCAACGATCGCAGGAAACACGCTAGTTCGCGAGAACGAAAATCGGATAGTCGAAAAGACGATAATGATAACGCAATCGATATGCCAAAGTGAAAGGTGTTGAGAACGAAAGAACCATTTCACTTTATTTCGATTCAAGGACATTGATGTTTCGTCGCATGAGTGCGGTGGAATCGTAGCGAGCTTTCGATGAATTTCGGTAACGTTCGGTAGATCAAGGGGTATGAAAACTGGCTGATGCATCTTTCCCAGAAGACCAGCATCCTCAATAATGAATTTTACACGCTCCTCCATATTTTCATACTTCCATTCGAGCCACCGAAGAAAAATAATTAAGCTAAAACCAATATATAAACGAAAGCCCTCAATGTGGTTCATTAAGAAATGTTTTTTAAAAAAACTTAAATGCAGAGCGAAGAAATTCAATAGATGCCGCGATTAAAAATGTATTCAATGCGGTTATTACTATTTTTGCACGTTCGAGACCAGAAATCAATAAAGTGGACGATTAAAAACATCATGTTTTTTCCTCTATTCTTAGTAAGCTCGGCGAGGGACCTTTTACGTACATAACTATTGTATGCATGTAGGTTTCCCAACTAAGGACAATTTATCGGTCTCGGGTTTTCGGTCGACCGGTCGATCGGCCGCAGGGACTGTGAGAGACGTGACAACGCGTGCGCTCGTAAATTTGCAATAATTTCGACAGAACGGACGCGTTACGATAAGCCTCGTGTCGGCCTGAACGATCGACACGAACCATAAATAACTTGCTTCGGTATGGAGAGACGAGTGAAAAAAAGAGGAGCGAGACAAAGTCACCAGGTATGGAAAATAAAAGAACTGGGTGACGAGAGCTGGGAACGTAAATTCCCACGTGGCATTTCCAGGAGCGGTGAAAAGTTCGTCAAGTCCACGAAAAGCTTTTCTTACCGTCAAAGATTTCGCAATGAATCCCGAGTGAATTTCATTGAAGTTTTATCTGACCGCTTCTCGTAATATCTGACCCATCCCTCGTGAATGGCTCAGGAATGGGTCACCCTACAACCTCTTTGCAGTCCTAATTGTAACTTGAGGGCCTGTGCCTTGAGCACAGTTAATTTGTCCAACGCAGATTTCCCTGTTGAACGATACAAGACCGTAATAATATTTAGAATCCAATTAATCCTTCGTTTATTTCTTATTTCACGTTGCTGAAGCCGCAAGGCGCGAATATTCGATTGGACTTTTTCTTGCAGTAAGTTGGACATCAGATTACTGACTGCTTCTCATTGATACTCTTATATCATATAACAAAGATGGGATCAATAACAAAGTAGCAAGGGTGGCGCTAGCAAATCATCCGTTAGGAAAACACCCCCCTTCCCCCCTCCCCCCCCC